TAAACCCTAAACCCGAAACCCTAACCCTAAACCGTTTACCGTTATGTATTGTGGTCATCTTGGTGGCTTTTGTAGTTCTTGGGAACCCGAACTCCGAAGGTGGGAGCTCGACCCGCCTTGCACGCAGGCCTGCTGCGCACCAACAGAGCGTTTGCCTGTAAATGTTTGGCAAGTGTTTAGGGTTTAGGGTTTAGGGTTTAGGGGTTCTTCTTGTTGCTAACAACACTGGAGGGATGTCCTCTGAGAGAAAGACCGTCGCCTCGTGTCAGTTGTTCATGCTTTTGTTTGTCATAATTCGGTTTCTTTGAACCAGCTGCTAGAATCACGAATTTCTAACTAGTTCTTTAGCAATGACTTGTCTCCATCGAAAGTCACACATTGCACAGAGGAGAGGGGTGGAGAGATGTTTTGAGTGTGTTTGTTTCTTGCGTTGTTGTTAAACCGCGGCTTTGACTTCCAGTCCCTCAGCCAGCCCAGCCTCCACCACAATGGAGAAGCATCCTTCCTTTTCGCAGCTCTAGATCGAAGGGAGGATGTGTCACCTGCTTGTGTTTCGACTTCGTCTCTCGCCCTTTCTTTCTCGAGCGCGGTGAGTATGGGATCTAACGCAGTGAGGCGGAGTGGAAGTACTTGGCTGATGCCAACGGTGCGCCCGAAGTCATGGAGACTCAGCAGCCAGACACTCTGTTGCCCAGATGATGCACCAGAAAGCTGCTGAGCAGCACAGTTTCGTCTCCGAAGGTGCAGCTACATGAACAAGATATGCCGGGGCTGCTACAACTCGAGGCTTCCGATCATGGCCAGAGTGAAAACCAGGAGCCCTTGTGCTGGGTGGAATTGAATCATTGAAGGCGACCTTGTTGCAGCGTGGGGAGTGAAGAGTGCATCTCGAGTACGCCTTGGCAGGATCAGGGCCAACGGTGGCTTGGAGGAAATGCAGCCTTCCTTGAAGATGCGCAAGGCCAGGCAAGGGAGCGATGGGAAGGGAAGGAAGGGGGAAGGAAAGGGGAAGGAAAGGGGAAGGAAGGGGGAAGGAGGAAGGAAATCATTCCTGGAGAGACTGAGGACTACGAAGCTGCCCACGACGCAGACCTGATAAAGAATCGGCCTGTGCTGACCTCATATCAGCTACTTGGAGGTTCATGGTACTTTTTAACCAATTATAAGGAGGGTTATAAGCTCAGCTATAACTGGTTAGTAAGTACCATGAACCTCCAAGTAGAGCCACACTGTCAGCCTCAGCTGTTGGTCATGGCTTTCATCGGAGGCAAAGATTGACGGCTTGTGCGCTTCTCGGTTGGGCTGTGTGCTGCACGAAACTGCTGGCGGAGTGCTTCTGGTGCAATTGGCAAAGCGAGGCAGAGCGCCAGCGCAGCTCATCTGAATGGGCAGTTGTGCAGGCCGAAGGGGAAATTAATGCACTTGGGCCTTGGATTTGAATTCCTGGTTCTTAGTAGGGAAAAAGGGAATTAGGGCCCTATATATACCCTTTAAGGGATTATACAGGGCACCTCATTCCCTCATTCCCTACTAAGAGCCAGCTGAAGCAGGTTGGTGTCCAGAGACGCTGAGTCGCTGAGATGGACCGTGGAACTGGCAGCGAGCCCGGCTTCGGAGCCGTCTGGGTTTCCGAAATTAGGGGTACCTTTGGGGTCCTTGGAACGCCTTTGATTTGGGGTCTTTCATTGGGGCCCCTTAGTTTCGTAAGCCGTCTGAAGGCGCGTGGAGTGAGAAGATAGTCGAAGCCCCTGCGCGGGCACTTTGATCAGACAAGCCTGCACTGCGCAGACTGTACAGAGTATATTGATATTGATTTTGATAGTAGTAAGATTAATATGAATAGCCGAAATAGCATTCTTGGTAATTGTCGTAGAAATAGTAATATGATGAATACTAATACTACTACGAATGCATGACTATATCAATATGACTATGAATGGTACCATATTAATATGAATACGAATATTGCTACTAATGTATGACTCTATCATTATGACGATAAAATAGTAGCAGCAGCCCACGCGGCAAAAGCCAAGCATCCGAGGTCGGCGGCGACCAGAAATCGATCAAAGAGTCCAACCTGACCGCTTCGAAGGCTCTGCCCTCGGATTTTCACCTATAGACTTGGGCATCTCTAAAGGCATTTGAGGTTTAGGGTTTAGGGCTAGGGTCTAGGGGCTTGGGGTTTAGGGTTTAGGGTGTTTCTAAAGGCATTCTAAAGGCCCTCTGTGCGCAAGGACATCGACCTGGAGTGGGAAGTGAGCCGGCAGCAGCCTGACCGGCTCTTTGAAGTTTGGGGCGGCCGAGGTGTGCATCTCTATGGGTTTAGGGTTTAGGGTTTGGGGTTTAGGGTTTAGGGTTTAGGATTCAGGGTTTAGGGTTCAAAGCCAGGTACGCTGCCAGCAACCCTGCTGATGCTGCCCAGACTGACGGAAAGCCAGTTGCAAGACCTTTGGGGTCCGAGCCTTTCTGAGCGGTTGGTTTACAATGGCTTAGCCCACAACTCGTAATGAAGATGCTGCCAAGGACAAACACCAGCTGGCCAAAGGTCAAAGGCATTCATCCAGGCCGATCTGCCTGCTACTTGGGGCTTCATGGGTGGTTCTAAGTGGGGTTATGAGTAAGGTAGCTACCGTTATAACTGGTTATAGCCTTTTCTAGGTACTTATCGCCCTCGCCCTACTCATAACCACCCACGAACCTTCAAGTACCCTGTCCGGCACACGAAAGACGTCCACTTCACTGCAGGGGCTGTGGTTCGCCTACAGAACCTGGTCGCGAAGCAGGACGCAGATTGAAAGCGCTGCCAGCCTTCCTCTGCTCCTACTGTTGAGTTTTCGGCTTCGCTTTGCGGGGTTTGGAAGCTTTTTGTCATCATTACGTACAGTTTCCGCGAAGCTGCCAGAGCGTTGGCCGTACTACGGTGCTCATGGTTTCTTCGACGGTCTTAGTTCCCGGTTTAATTGCGAAACACCCTGGCACTACTATTTTGCTGTTGAATCCTCAACGATCCTTGCAACATGTCCCCAGGACCTGAATGGGCGCAAGGGCAGGCCGGCCTGTCTTGGCTTCCTTTAGCTTCCTTTGGCTTCCAGAGTGGCCCCTTAAGATTGGGACCGATAGAAGGTGCATCAGCTTCGACACGGAGGCTCTGAGCAAGAGTTCCTTGCCGCGGTTGAAGGCCGGTTCCTCAAATCATTTAGCAGGTTGGCCGATGGAAGGTCGACCTCGGGGATGAGCATAAGCCTGCGGCCCACTGAAGACCTCTTGCTCATGTCTGCTGGGAATGTCGGGAGTGCACCGGCCATGAGGTCACTCAAAGTTGAGAACTTGGTGCGCATCTGCCCAGCCACAGCAGCATTGATTGAATGATGTTTGCTTGCCTCCATCTTTCATCGAAGGCACCTGCTCTTCGAAATGTCTTTAACTGAAACCCTAAAAACCCCAAAATGTCTTTAACCGAAACCCTAAAAACCCCGAAATGTCTTTAACTGAAACCCTAAAAACCCCGAAATGTCTTTAACTCAAACCCTAAAAACCCCGAAATGTCTTGAACTGAAACCTTAAAATTTAAAAACCCCGAGAGGCTGCACCTCGCACGTGCTTAGAGGTACCGGCTCCTGGGGAGAAGCCTCCGACCCGGCAGAGTGCCGAGGCTGAGCCTGCGGCTCAGCGCTGGGAAGACCTTTCCTAAACCCTAAATCCTAAACCCTAAACCTCCTCTTGGCTGAAACCCGAACCATGTGCTGTAGGAAAGCAGCAGGCGACGCCGAAGCATTGAGGCAGGCAATTCATAGAGGTGACCCTTCACAGCCACTGAGACATCTTCCTGAAAGGAGACAGGCTTTAGATGCTCGTCAGAGGCATGCGGAGGATTACGGCCGCTTTCTCAGAAGACCCCCCCCTGTCCTACGCAGAATGTTCATGGGTAGTTGTAAGTAGGGTTATAAGTTATAAGTACTCCAAATAAGGCTATATCCAGTTATAAGTATAGTTACATTACTTATAAGCCTACTTAGAACTACCCATGGATCTTCAAGTACGCAGCATGTCAGGGCGATCCCACGAATGACTGTCCTCGGCCCAACCAAGGTTGGGACAGTTGAGCGCGCCGTGCTGGGAAGAAATGAGAAAATTTGCCCGCGCTTGCCTCTCTTGGCATGCTTAGGATGTCCTTTCAAGGTGGAATACGGACCTGAGGCTGACACATAGGACTCATGCTTTCTGACAAGAGTCATGTGGCATGTGATGAGGCTGGACCTGTGCGCCTGCTACCGGCTCCAGCGTACCATGAGCAACACTTACTCGGAACTGCTACCCGAAACGACTATCCGCAGCGCCCATTAGCTTGGACATCCCTGACCAAATCCTAGTGCAAGCAGCTGTGAACGGGATCCGGAGGCATTCTTAGTATTACTGTGAACGGGATCTAATGCAGCAATGGGTTGCGTGGCATCGGCGAGCCCAAGCGAGGAAAGACTGCAGCTGCAGAAAGAGGTCAGACGTCCAAAGCCAACATAATGCGCGCAATCACTGAAAAGCTGTGCTCGGCTTGTGGATGGTCTCTGCGCAAAGGCGGTGCTGGTGGCAGAAGGTTGCCATGGATCGGTGACATACCGGAACTTCAGTGCACCAGGCTCGTTGGTGCGTCTCTACCTAAAATCTTCCCGCTAGGGTCATCACCTTTTCTTGCCATCTGCTTTGGAGGCAAGCGATTTGGCTGGAAGAAAACCTGGGTCCGCAATGCATCGATCTACGTGCTCAACGACAAGGTGGCGTACTTCAGTGGCAACAGGCGACTAGGCAATGTTGAGTTTGCTGATGCTCGCTTCCAGCACTTGCAGTCGTCGGTCGAAGATGGGAGCGTGCTGCTTCTGTGCAATGAAGATTGTAGCATTTTCAATCCTAAAATGTCAGGCTCTGTAGATGTGCGAATCTCCACTGCAAATGCAGCGGACTTGCATGCCATGTTGCTCAGTCATCAGCAAGAACGCTGTTGACAAGAGAACAAGTGAGACCTATGAGATCGGGAAACCGATCCTTCATAATCTCAATATAAGCTTGTTCACCTCACGAACGCAAACGAGATTGTCCACCCGGCCAGAACAGTGAAATTGCCTGCTCAAGGTTTCTCTAGAGGGATTCCGCTCTTTGAGACGAGAAGTGTCGAGAATTTAGGGACGAGGCTGAAACTTTTAGGGTCTTGCTGCGAAGGCTTACTTATCACCGAGTTCGAAGGGTTCTGATGGGGGGGGGCTGGGGATAGTTGGTCTCTTGGGGGGCTCTGAAGGGCTTCGAAGACATAATGGGGGGGTTGGGTCAAGGGCTTTGGTTTTCGCAGAGTCTCGTGCAGATTCCGATGTCTGTTCTGCGAGGCCGGGGTTGCACAAACACTGTGTCCAGGGGGGAGAGATGGTATTGAGAGATTCCAAGTTGAAGCGAGGTCCGAGGGAGGGTTGAGTTCAGGGATGCTAACTCAGGGAAGCTCTGGCACGTTGTACCCGTCGCTGATGAGTCTTCATCATCCGGGGCTTGAGTGCTAGTTTTTGCCCCTCTAACCCTGAGTGGGATACCGAATAGGACGAACTTAGAGATGTGCAGAAACCATAATTCAAGGTGGGACGAAGATTTTATTCCGATCGAGGGATATATCGATGCTCTCTCCTGGACAGACTAGAAGCTAGAATCTCTTTGAAGATAGTATCTTAATTATTCTTCGCATTCTTCAGAGAAAAGACTTATCGCCATCCCGAATTACGAGAATACAAGGAACATCATTAGAAAAGAGATATAAAGGAGATTCATTTATCAATTTTTTCTAATCATGAATTTTACGAGAATAAGATTCATATTTCCTTCTGAAATGGAATTTTTATATACGAGAATGATTCGAATTTATTTTGAATGATGACCTTTGTAAATTAGAAGAATCGGTTATGGGCTCCGATGTGAGCGGGGATTTAGGTTTAGAATTTCCTTAAATTTAAATCTTAAATTCTAATCTTAAATTTTAAATCCTAAATCTTATTAAACCCTAAATTTTGAATCCCAAATCTTAAACCCGACCACACGGGATTCTAAACCCGAATCTATTATATTCGGAGAAGATACAAGAATTGAAATTATCTTTTAAGAAACCAAACTTTCTAGAATAAATATTATCGATATATTTAGTTTCAAAGGAATATTTAACAAAATCTTTGGAAGAAGAAATTATGATTAGAGGAGATTTATGGAATTGATAAATCTAACATTGAAATGATTTGAAATTGATATTTAATTCTGGACTACTTTTTAAATCTCGAAATAAAATGAATAATTATCTTCATAATTAAATGGGGAGTCATGATAAAGGATACCGAAGAAATATAATAGAGATGATTATTCTTATATGGAATATTCTTAATTAATATTTTTGGAAATACATGTGTCTTTTTTCGATCGAAAAGAATTATATTCGAATTAGAATTTGATCCCCTATTATGAAATGAATAGATGAAATATATTCTCAATTAGGTAATACGGAATTTTATTCTCGTTCTGGAATTGAGGATCGATTCTTCTAAGAATTCAATTTCGTCTATAATCTGTATTGGGAGCAGACGCCTCTTGCACCGAAATATGGGAAGATATTTAATCCGTATTCGCGTTGCTTTGAGATATCATGAAGTGTTGGAGATATGATTATTTCATTTATTGATGGAAATATGAGATTTCTTGGGGCCTCAATTGAATTTATCTCATGTTTCATCATATCAATTATCCTCGATCTCCATTGGTTTCCATTCGGATCAATTAAGAGGATGATCTCATATATTTGAAAATTCGAAATAATATTATGATATGAGAAATATGGATCGTAATATGAATAAGAACCAAATAGAGGCGTCTTATTCTTCGGCTTGAGGAGGTGATTTGGCTTGGAAAAGGAAAAGGAAAAGGGGATCTTTTCCCTTTCCAAATCAAATTGATTTAATATCATCTAATAATAATTCTATTTCGATCTATAACCACCAATATTAAAGTGCCCAACAATACGATCTCGCCCTACAACATACAATTCAAGTGCTATACAATACATTATGAAGCCAATATCCATTTAGAAATAGACCGCCTTTCACCAATATTTGGACCTTTCCACAACAGTCAAGTGTCCAAGACAATAGATTTGAGGGGATAAGACAACAAAATTTACATGGAGGAATAATTTTATAATAACTAATAACAAAAATAACAATAAAATAACAGCTACTCCACTAAGATGTAGTGGAGTGGAGCTGGATGATATATCAAAATGGTGCTCATGAAAATAATACCTCATTAATAATATCAGGAAGAGGGGTAATTGATCGATTTACCATTTATCATTTGGCCCCATCAAAGCTTGTAACTTGAACACAACAACAAATACCTCAAGTAGAGATAGGCCACTTGGATTTGGAATAGAATGGAATTTTTCAATTCCATTCCAAACCCAAGTATTGAAACCAATCATGAAGCCAACCATCATCAACCCCCAATCAATATTGAGGGTATATTATATATATCCAGATATGGTCAATTGCTTAGCATTGGAAAATGGAGATCAATCTGAGCCTCCATTCTCCAATATCAAGTCACAACAATCAAGCCACATCAATATCAACAACATGTGTACTCTAACAGCTGGTATTTACAAAAAATAAAAAGTAAAAGGCAAGCCTTTTACTTTTGCAAATATTAGTCACCTGATTCAAGCCAATAACAAGCCACCAATTTCAAGACTACCATATAGAATTAAATATCGTCCATTGAGCAAGACCAAACTAAACCAAACTAAACTAAACACTGCCAAACTAAATTATTGTTGCTACAGCTGCACATGACATCATAAGTAAACACTTTATTTCAGCAGATTTTATTCTTTTCATAGAAATCATACTAACAAACAATATGCACCGCCCAAAGATCATGATACTGCTCTTTGCACATATACAAGCAATTGCAGTGGAGGCTTGTCTAATCCTTAGCTTAAGATACAAGCTACATACCGAGAGCTAAGACCGAGTAGAGTAAGAGGATGAGCTAATAATAAGGTCTTGAAGAATAATCTCGGGTCAATTAATCTAAAATATGAGCCCTAGCAAAAGAATTAATATAGAAAACTAATGAAAATGAGATCTTCTTTCTTGAAAAAATACTATCCAAGGATATTCCTACCAAATTAGATCTAAGGACCAATGATTTCTGTTCAGATCTCATACAAATCAGCTTATAAAATGAGGTCATCATCAAATAAATCTTGAGAAGATGAATTCAATATAATATTTCGACAATACCAATCAATCTTATATGAATTCTTGGACATTGAATTTAACAACCAAATCAGGAGCTTGATGAACACTCATTCATCCAACAAATAGATCTTGAACTTGGGTCTTGGACATTGGAACCTTGGATCTTGGACCTTGGACCTTGGATTCAAGACTTGGACCTTGGAATTATCAAGAATTAATGACCACTTGGACTTGGAATGAGGCCTTAGAGCTTGAATTATGACCACTTGGATAAAGAATCCTTATAAGATATAATAAATCAATGAAGCTGAATTATTTTAGTGGATCCCGCTGCCCGTGTGGTTGTTTGACGCAGACAGGCGCCAGTCGGTCCTCGGAACGCAGCGGACAGCACATGCAGCCACAGGTGTTGTGTCTGCGAAACACAGGAAAACTCCACAGGAGCCAGAAGCCCAACTCGGTATGTTGGTCCGTGTTGAAAAAAGTGCCATACTGAGTTGGACGGCGCCGGCCAACTCAGCATGAGGGGTCTGGGCCCTGCAAAGCTTCATTTTGTGGCCCGGCCAAAATACTGAGTTTGGACGCTCGGCGGCCCCACTGCCTAAAACAACGGCTGATACTGAGTTTGCCGGCGCCGGCAAACTCAGTATGGGACTTTCCCAAAAGCAGCCAACATACTGAGTTCTGCTTTTCGGCGGTAGGTCAACATCCAAAAAGACTTGAAATCCTTCCCAACGAACAGGATTCTAAAATGACTCTTACATACTATGGCCACCAGTGGGTTTCGTAGATCTCTCCAGAGAAAAGAGACACACGAACAGACTGAGCGCAGCGCGCGTCAGGATGTTGCGCATCAGTTAAATCTGCAGACCTGGGCCATGTGCACATGTCTTGCTTGGACAGGAACAAACATTGAACGTGTCGGTTGCGCAGCACTTGGTCAGTTTTTCTTGAGCCGTCGTTTCGAGTGAGGGTATGCTAAGTGTTTGAGCGCCCTGAAGACATGAACATGCGCTTCTGCTGCAGAAGGAGAGACCCCCCCCATAGAGGTCCCCAAAAGGGTGTTCGGTCTTGAGGGTATCGGTTTTAGGATCAGAACCGTCATTTGGGGCTCCGGGTTTTGGTGTGGTCTTCGGGATGCATCTCGAGTTGAGGGCTCAGGGTTTTCATTCGCGAGAAACCCAACACGGAAGCCTAAGTCATCACCAATCTTCTGCCCCGGAATCCCTGTAGTTATCCCGAGACTTCCCCAAACTAACTTAACTCTCATCCTTGAATACTTGTACTCCGTCTTTGAGGGGAGTGCGGTGTTCCCTAAACCCCAAACCCCAAACCCCAAACCCCAAACCCTAAACCCTAAACCCTAAACCCTAAGCAGCGCGGGAGACCTCTGGAGATGAGACAGCGCCCTGCGGCACACCGCGGGAAACCAGAACAGGGGCGGTGAGACCGACACGAGTGTCGAGCACGACGGAGCCCGCAGAGAACAGTGAGTTGCGCAGTCTGCGGACACTATCGGGCAGACCCCGGCCTTGTTGGAGGGCATCGATCTGGGAGAGTTGCAGGGTGTTGAAGAACTTCTCGAAGTCAGCAGGGACACGGACAAGAGGGAGGTCGTGCCGGACTGCGTCTTCGCACACGAGGACATCCGTGTAAAGGACCTCGGAGGCCGCAGCAACGCCACGCGAGTAATTAAGCCCGGTTCAACTCGCTGTACGGCGCGT